TCACAAAACTCCGATTATTTCGCACAGTTTTCGAACAGCCCATTAAAAGCCGGCTTGTTGGGGTGATAAATGCTGATTCGGTGGCTGCATCCAGTATCAACCCCTCTTGTCTCTTCTTTCCTTTCGCTGCGAACCCCCCGCGGCTTTCCCATCCCTTCCCCCCCCCTGGTCCTCATCGCTGCCGAACGTTTCCTGTAATACAAAACCCCCTGCTGGCTCTGGAAATACATACCTATGTCTTTTTCGGGCATTGTCGCAATGCAACGACAATGTTTCTTTATCCGTTTCACGTGCGAACGACGCTCACGAATCGTTGATGAAAGTCGAGCTTTATGATCGATCGTGACTTAATAACGGTATTGTTTGTCGTTGTTTGTTATTTTAATTTTTTGTTTATAGCTTTGATTTTTTGTGTGCTTTATATGATTATTATACTGATTATATATATATTATTGTTATACTAATGCTTGTCGAGAGATTCTTTTGTTTTTTTTTTTCTTGTCTGTTTATTACCGTTATTGTATATGTTTTCTGCTTTCTGCTTTATACGTGTATTTACACGCACCTCTTATCTACGTAATCGTCGGATATCTTGTTCCGAGTAGATCGCCTCAGAGTTTTCTCGTCTTGTTTTACCGCCAAGATCCATAGATATCGGATGACGATGAAATATTTTGACTGTTTCGGGATTTCTGAAAAAAAAAAAATAGATAGCTAGGTGGGCAAGGGTGGCGGGGCTTGAGAGGAAACTCAAAGTAAAACAATGTTGGTGTAAAATTAGTTGAAAAGAAAAAAAAAGTAATGCCTCATTTTGCTACCCATTATTATATTCGTAAAACTACCAAACATCACGCTGCCGGAGCTGTACATTCAAATTACACGTTGCACCGATGCACCGTTGCATTACAGACATTACGAAATTATCTTGAGAATTACAAATGTCTCGTTCCACGCGTACTATTATTCACGAACGAATAATAATACCACGCTGGTGTTACATCTTTATTTTTCTTTCTTCCACGTATGCAAAAGGGGACCACCTAATTTCTTTGTATACATATATCTTACCATTATATTTCGATACCGAAAAAAAATATTTTTTCAAACGTCAAACAACGTACGATCGTTTCGCCCGATTATCTTTGAGGACAGGAAAAAAAGGAAAAAGAAAATAATCTATCAGGATCATCTCCAGGTTGTTGCTCGTCGAAAAATATTGCAATCAATTGATTTCCACGTGCGTCCATCCCGCTGACCGGGCGGTGCAAAAGTGCAGTGAATCGTGGCAGTGCGGAACACGTGTACAGGAAGCAAGTAATCAAGAGAAAAAGGACTTGATTGTTGGGGCTCGTAATAATGTAAAAGATAAATAATACTCGTCCTGTATACTAAGGCGCAGCGTATGGAAGCCCCGGCTATATTTAGTGACGCGCCACTGACTCCTTTTTTCTGAGGATCCCAAGAAATGAGCCAGCAACGGCTCTGGGTATTGCGTGCTATGGCCAAATTACGTTGGAAGGGTGATAAAACCTACTTAAATACACCGCTCCTCCTTCCTTATCTGGGGATACGCGTATGAGCACGTATGTACACATATGCGTAAAACCGAGTATATATATGTATATAACGGCAGGTTAATGTGGACGGTAGGCGTGTATTACGCGTGGAGTATTTTCGAAAAGCAATTACCTATATACGTTATCGCTTGTGAAAAGCACTGTAGAAAAGCATGAAGATGGAAAAGTTACGACCCCGTAGAAACGACCTGCCGCGCCTGTGTTTCGTACCGGGAGTTTTATCGGGGACTGATTCTCGTTCGATACTCTGGTAAATTGTTTGGCAAACAAACGTTTAAGAATTCCAGGGAATATGAAAGATTCAAATTTAAGGGACGACGGGGAATGGGGATTGAACGATGACAAGGGGTACGAATAATTATCGAAGCGTCGGATCAATTTTGGAAAATTTTTAATGCGGGGTGATAAGCGTGATAACAGAAATTTCAAGGGGGTAGACAAAACGTATATTTTTCGCTATTGTGTTGTCGGGCTCGAAGGGAGTGGATATGGGGAAACAGAAATGTTACATATGTGGTATACACGGTGTTACATTATTGTATAGCAGAGTTGGCAGACCTCTTTGGTAGATTAGTTGAATTTTGAAAATTTTTTTTCATTCCCTTATATCTGACTTTTATCCCCTGAATTTTATTCTATCTCTTATTTCTCTCCTGCCGCGGTACTTTTGCTACGGCGGGATGCTGTGGTGTTAACGTAAAACGAAAATTGTGCGAATTGAAATTTCGTGGTGCTAATGGACAATTGGGCGTTCGTCGTAGACTTTACTATTTTTTGGTCACAAGAGCGAAGCACTTTGGAAAATTGGAAAAATTCGCCGGTTCGTTCGTAATTTAAATTGTACGTTATGCGTTGAGATGATTTTTTTTATAGATATCGTGGAAATTGTTGGTTGACGTTTTTATGAATTTAATGACATTTTTTCTCGTAGCTTGAAAATTCAGTGGGATTATATAAAACAATTGCACCTTGATGCACGAATGAGATCTGCAACAGCGAGAAACTTCTTCGAGTATAATTGAATATCTCAGCGAATCCGGTCCATTGTGTTTTTATTTGAACCAGCTTTCTTTCTCTTTCCATGTTATTCACCTGAGACACTTTATTTTTAAATCATTCATAATCTCCTCTCCGTTCCCAGCAAGGATGCACTTAATGCACTTTTACCTCCGGACTCGATGGCATAAAGTGGATTTTCAAAATAAGCACACTTGGATTTTCCTTAAAGCAAATCCTTGTCACCCATCGCTGACGCGTTTTCGCGCAGTTACCTTATTTCGTAAAAGCAAAGAAAAAAAAAAGACTTTTCCAAGCACAAAAAAAGAAGGTCTCGCGTACGACACTGTCTCATGGCGTACAAATAACATTTAAATGAACGCGAGCAACTTGGCCGAGTTAAAAACTTTACGTATTCGTAATGCTCATAATTCCAAGTACAAATATGTACTTGGCAAAGGAAAGAAGAAGAAGAAGAAAATAAAGAATAAGAAGCTTCTACCTTAGGTCGACGTGGCGCGAAGAAACATTGACAATCGCTCGAATCGACTTTCTTCTTAGCTTAGCGAACTCAAGCAATGGAAATAACGAAGCACGTGCTAGAATTCGAGAACTTTTGTTGGGTAACAATGTGGGGAAAGGGGTTAAAAAATAAAGAAAAAAAAAAGAATTGCGACAACTGTTTGGCTTTGGGTAAAGCCCAACGTACGCACGACAAAGGCCGTACAGCCGTAGATCACGTGTCGTAAATATGAGAAAGTGGCTCCCCCCTCTAATGTAGTGCCCGCTTCCGAAACCCATAATGTCCGATCCTTTAGGAGAAATACGATAAGAAAAATGCACGAGGGTTCGGTAGGGGGGTGGCTCTGCGGTTCTGCGGCAGGACTGGCGGAATATATGAAAGGCTACACCGCGGAATAGCCGTCGGTATTTTATGTCCTTCTGCCGGAGAAAGAGGCCGAGAGGCGAGTCGGACTGGAAGAAGGATGGAGTAGGTGACGCAAGGGTAGGAATAAGAGTGAACAAAAAAAAAAGAGAGAAAAAAGGACACAAGACGTCGCCGTCCTTTTCGCAGGACACAGCGACGCTGTCCGCGTCGGATTCCTTGATACAGTCGTCTATAATATCGGACTTTCTCTACTTTCTCGCTCGAATTCCTTTCGCTGGGTATATACGTATATACAGGGTGGTTTTGAAATTCGAGACTCGGCAATAAACGTCTCGCTCGATTCAAAGGGCGAATTCGATCTGAGTGGCCTTTAGGGTCAATTGCGCGAGTTCCGCGCTGTAAGCAGGGGGGGGGGGGCTCTACTTGCTCGCGATGTGATTTTTATTGGCGGATATCAAACTCTGATTTCATATTCCATTCGCAGAATCGACGAGGCAAAAGGGTGGTAAGCCGATAGGGGGAGGGAGGGAGGGGGGAGGGACTATTGTACTTCGGGAAGTTCAAAGCCGATAATGATCCCACGATATTCTTGGGTGAAGCTGATAGTGCGAGAGAGAGAGAGAGAGAGGGGGGGCGAGACACTGCTGACAAATAGAATCGACTCAGTCACCCTTTGATAAAGGATTACAGTCGAGAAAAGATGGCTGAGTAGACTGTGGGTAAGATTGAAAACACTCAGGATTCGAGAAACCTGGCAAGGGATGCTGGGAGGAAAAAGGAGTCAGCTACGAGTATTTTATAAAGAACTTTTAAACGTCTCGGTCCATTTTTTATCCTAGTAGCGATCCAAAGGCGTCGTTGAATATCTAGGTGAACGAAATGCATGGGTAGTTTTTGACCTATCCCAACGTTCACGAGAATTTACGGGAATTGACCTTTAGCCTCTTATCGTTTTACGTGAGCATTTTTCACGCGCAAGGACTATCTCGCCGAAGGACCGGAATAAGGTAAAGGAATAAAGTGACCCGTTCGATTGCTAACGATATTCGATAGCCAATCGATACAGCTCGAGAGCTTATTCGAAGGTAGCGAACGCCTCCGTACGTATCCCGTATACGAGTGCTTTTGTAAAACAGGTAAAATATAGAAGCCCTGAAAGCCGGGGCGTACAGGTTCCGTTGTTGCCGTAGGTATCATACTGTTAGATTTAACAGAGCGGCAAAGGTAAGTTGGAGCGTCGCAACTAAAGCAACTAAAGCACTTTGGGAGTTTCTAGCCAAAGACATAGCTCAAAAGTTCTTGCCGCTCGGAGCCAACTCCGTCGTTGGAAGAGGCAAAGAGTGGTTGGAGTATTTGGTGGCACCCTTGTTGGTTGGTACGGTGGAAGGGTGTTAGATCAGCCAAGTAAGGGACGCAAGAGCTTTCGAAATTACGTATAAACCGAGAAAATCACTTAAACTGTCAGGATTCGAACCGAAAGTGGGACACCGCATCAATAACTGACCGAGTAAACATTGATCTCTCTCTCTCTCTCTCTCTCTCTTGTATTCACACCCTGAGGTATAGCTCCTTGGTTCGAGATCGATCCTCTCTCTTTCTATGGTCCAGAAGGTTCAGGAGGTTGAACGAGGATCTCGTGGGCAGCTCTGACTACTGTTATTCGCAAGATAGCAGGTAACCCAACTTGAGAAGACGAATGGTAATTGCCCGATAGAGAAGAAGCCTGAAACTATAGCGATAACGAGAATGAAGTAGCCTAAGAAGATTCTAAATAAAGTCAGTATTTTGGCTTTTTCCTTTATACCCATCACTCCGAACGTGGATCGGAAAATCTTTCGTTGCTAGAATCCAGTAGAGAGTAGAGCCTGAAAATGAAAATAGTCTAGCCGACGTTATCCAGCGGGATAACAGTTCGACGTTGTTAAGCAAACCGTAGCGAAGAGATATTTAACTATGTTGTTTTGAACGTCGAGTAGGCCATTTTCAATACGGGCATTATCGCTAAGTGCCGAGTGGAATCGACGAGCGAATATCGAAGGTGAACTAGAATTTTACAAGGAAGAATCTCGGGAAGCGAACGTGACGGGATGTCGGGCTCTTACGTGTATATCTATACGCCCTGTTGAAGTACGAAGGGGGTGCGAAGAGTCCGCGGGGAAATTACGATAATCCGCTCGAAGGAGTTTCGTTCTGTTAACTGGACCGATAAATCGGTCGTCTAGAAGGCTCG